CACGGCATTTTGTTACAGTTGAGCTTATTGTGGGTAACTCCAACAAGCAACCATAGGGTGAAATTAGAGTGAATGGAATCACCATTCTTTTCTGTTTGTACAAAGAGTGGCCTACATCACACCAAGTGTTTGTCATTAGACCCAAGGGAAGGACACACACCCTACACTGCCAAGCTTGCTGGACCTGACATCAGGCCTGGACATCAGCAGAAAGAAAATAACGTGTAGTTCTACCCACCATTTATTGAATACCCGCTGTGTGCCAGGCATTAGTTTATCTAATCCTCACAGTAAACCTGTAAAGTAGAAGGAATCATCCCGTTTACATATTAGACAACACACACACACACACACACACACACACACACACACACACACACACACACACACACACACCCAAACTCATTCTACGAGGCCATGCCCCAGAGACCAGGAGGTGGGGACAGAGCAGGAGCCCAGGTCTCCATAAACCAATCTTTAATAGTAAATCCTCTAGGAAATTAAGGCATCCTAATCCAAGAAGACAAGAAGCACAATTAAATAGTGACACCTTAAAAAATTATTAAGACTTGATCAGTTGAATTAAACCAATTATGTACATTAACTGCCAAAGGTTACTGATGGTGCCACAGGCAAAAAATGGTGCCAAAGGTAGATTTGTTAGACTTGTTTTATACACACACACACACACACACACACACACACGACATTGTTCATTAATGAAACCTTAATGCTGGTTTTTATGTTCATGATTAAATATATTTTAAAAGGCATATTGTTATTGAAGCTGTAAATAATTTTGAAATATATGATGAATTTAGCAAGTGTGTGTGTGCATGTGTGTATATGAAGGACACTTTTGGCTGTCTTATCTATGGAAGCTAAAAAAGTAGGGGCTTGGAAAGCTGTTGATAGGTGTTGTGTGTGCTGTGTGATCCTGTGAAGTGTGTATCGTTGTTACTGGCATGTGCATTCAATGGAGAGGAGCTGTCCCTCATACAAAAACCCCACTAGATTGTCTGTAATTCTCTTTGATATCTGGAGTGTCTTCGTGGTAAACTGTTTGAATTTGGTCCTGTTTTTCTTTCTTTTTTAGGATTAAGACCTCTTTAATCTTTTTATGATTAATTATTAAGGATTTATGTATTATTGCAAAGTGATAATGAAAATCAGTTTATGATTGTGTGGCAGGTTATTATCAAATTCACATTTCAGGACAGACAAGAAGGATCTTAATAAATGGGACTCGGAGTTTGGACATTTATTTCACAATTAACAGAGGAACCAGGTAATGGGCGAAGAAATGGCTTCTAACGTTTTTCTCTGCTCACAAAGATAGTTTGTGGATTTGTGACCATGTGTTTAGTATCTTCCTTTCGTAAAACCCTGCTAAAATGACAATGAAGGAGCCTTGTGAAGAATCAAAAACAAGCACAGAGAAGGGAGAGGAGACAAAGAGTGGACAAGAGAGGCCAGAGGTTTTGGAGGACGGAAGTGACCAGGGGAGGGGCTGAGTGCCGAGGAGGGGAGACAGACCAGAAGGGGAGGACAGGCTCAACCTGGGGGCCCAAGCGCCAGCAAAGGCAGGGGTGGAGTGCAGGGCTGCAGACGGGGCCTGGGTAGGAAGCGTGTCCACAGACTGATGTGACCCCCACAGGCCATCTACTCTGCAGTGGACAGCCACCCTCCCTGCCTTACCCAGAACCCAGTAGGAGATCAGGTCTCACGCCTGCAGGATCTGATGCACAAACTCAGGGACCCCCAGGCATTGGACTGAGAGGAGGGGATTACGGATCCCGTAGAAACCCCCCAGCCCCTACCCTGCCTGCAGCCAGACCAGGGGGCTCCTCCATTTGCTGGTTGCTCAGTAAAAAAAAAGCTACTGACCCCTTCATCGCACACATCCTGCCATGTGAGCAGTTTCCAACCTCGTTTTGTGTTTCCCTCTTCCCTCTTGACATCCCAGGATCGTCAAGCATTTGTGGAAAGCCTGTGTATGAAAGAGACCCAAATAATATAAACACCAGCACAATAGCAGAAGACCCCAGGAGAAGACAGACGATACAGGGAGCAGAAGACAACACCACAGACTGTGATTGACGTTCTCCAGGGACCTGGGGCGGGGGGGGGGGGG